CTCTTAAAGAGGGCGCACAACCGGTATTTCTTAAAGCACGGAGAGTTCCATTTAAGTTAATGCCATTGGTCGAGCACGAGATAGAAAAGTTAGTTCAAGAAGATATTTTAGAAAAAGTAAACACATCAGTGTGGGCTACGCCCGTAGTACCGGTGTTAAAAAAAGGAAATGCAGTACGCTTATATGGAGATTTTAGTGTTACGATAAACAAGCATTTGCAAATCGACGAACACCCACTGCCTACGATTGACGAACTTTTCAATGCTCTTACGAATGGCGAAAAATTTTCGAAAATTGATTTAAAAAGTGCGTACCTACAGATGGAGGTACATCCGGACCATCAAGAATTACTAACTCTAAATACACATCACGGGTTATACAAATGTAAACGCCTTTTATATGGCATTGCTTCTGCCCCAGCTATTTGGGAAAGGGAAATTGAAAACATTCTAAAAGGAATACCTGGAGTTTCAGTCTTTCTTGATGATATTAAAATAACCAGATCAAATGATCAGGAACATTTACAACGCCTTAAGGAAGTGCTCACACGTTTAGCTGAATGTAATATACGTATTAATAAGGAAAAGAGCGAGTTTTTTAAACAAGGTATTAATTACTGCGGTTATTATATTGGTAAGTACGGGATACATAAAGTAAAAGAGAAAATCGAAGCAATCGAGAAAATGCCTAAACCACAAAACGTTACGGAATTACGAGCATTTCTTGGAATGATCAATTATTACGGGCGGTTCATGCAAAATTTAAGTACAATCCTCGCACCACTACATAAAAAAGGGGGTCGAGAAGTTGCGTTTAAGTGGACAGCAGATTGCGGAAAAGCATTTATTGCTGCGAAAAAGGAATTTGTGAGCGATAAAGTTCTAGTGCATTTTGATCCGGGTCTCCCTCTCGTGATAGCCTGTGACGCGAGCCCTTACGGCGTGGGGGCCGTTCTTTCGCATAAATATCCAGATGGTACAGAGCGAGTAATACAATATGCATCGCAATCGTTATCTCGTACTCAAAGAAAATATTCACAAATAGACAAAGAAGCGTATGCAATTGTTTTTGCGGTAAAAAAGTTTCACCAATACTTACTAGGAAATCAGTTTACGTTGTATACGGACCACCGACCACTCGCGCAGATTTTTTCGCCGGGAAAGGCATTGCCTGTGCATAGTGCAATGCGTATGCAGCACTACGCTATTTTTCTACAAGCATTCACATTCGATATTAAATATAAAAATACAACATTACATGCTAATGCAGACGGTCTATCACGGTTACCTATTCGAATAAAAAATGAATTTGAACAAGACGTAATTGATGAGTACGAGATTAACATGATTGAGTCATTGCCACTTACCGTTGAAGAGTTAGCGAGAGCGACGAAGGAAGACAAGGAATTACAAATTTTGAAAAACGGGCTACTTGGAAGGGGAGTGGTTAACATGCGCGATCGATTTAACATCCCCCAATCGGAATTTAGTTGCCAGCAGAAGAACATCTTGGAATAGTGAAAATGAAGAGCATGGTTAGACGTTTTGTTTGGTGGCCAGGGATTGATCGCGATTTAGAAAAGACCGCAAAAGAGTGTACAAATTGTAATTTAGTTCAAAACAACCCGCTGAAGGTTAAAACGGAAGAATGAGAATCTGCGAGTTTCCCTTTTCAGCGAGTTCACGTAGATTACGCGGGGCTATTTATGGGCCATTACTTTTTTATCCTAGTAGATGCGTTCACTAAATGGCCAGAGGTTTACGTAACCAAAGATATGACAAGTGATACAACTATATCCGACAGCGGGCGAGCTTTCGTTTCGTATGAATTCCTCCAATTTTTAAAACTTAACGGAATCAAACACCAAACTACAGCGCCGTTCCACCCAGCTACGAACGGACAAGCGGAAAGATTTGTGCAGACATTGAAGGCGGCGCTTAAAAAAAAATTTCAGACGACGCATGCAAATAAGTTGGAACTAATCAAGGCAACACAAAGTTTCTTACTACGTTACCGAAACGCAGCACACCAAGCTACAGGGGTGTCGCCGGCAGAAAAAATGTTTAACCGCCAACGACGGACGCGTTTCGACTTATTATTACCGAGAAACGAAAACCCAGTTGAACGGGAAGAAGTGTTACAAAACGTACGATCATTTCAAGTAGGAGATAGAGTACATTGTAGGAACTATTATGGAAAAGTTAAATGGGTTTTCGGAAGGATCAAGCAAAAATTGGGAAACCGACACTATATAATCCAACTGGACGATGGACGAAGCTGGAAACGGCACGTGGATCAAATACGTAAAACAGGAAATGTTCCAACTCAGCGCATAATGTCTCGTGAAAATTTATACGACGGACCAGTAGAAGCAACGACCCAACGATAAGAAGAAGAGGTTTCGGATTCAGAAACACAGCTACCGGGAGACAGGACACCACGACCACAAGAAACGGCGCGAAGATCGATGCGAAGACGTGCAGCTCCAGAGCGTTTTGGAGAAGCCATACCGTATTAAAATGTTATTCTTTTCTATATAATTCGACTTTATTCTATTATGTATGTACCCTAGAATTGGTTATAATTTTCATTATGTAACGTCCCGGAATTATTATCGCGAGTACGCTACTGCACCGACACGTAGGGAGAGCGGTTCCCTATAAGAAGGCGACTCGTAAACAATATAATGAAGGGATCATAGGTTCAGGTGGCACGCGGTAAAGGAGTAAAATCCAACGTTAATTCCTTTCTCAAAAATAATAATGAGTTTATTCAAGAAAAATGTGTTGTGTTTGTTTATAATATATATATAAAAAGAAAAGGTAAGTAATTATTTGAGTAATATAAAATGTAATGAAAATAATATAAAGAATTAATGTAATCAATGTACAAATGTTGCGCCCTGTTTTGAAATACAAAAAAAAAAGAAAATAATTATATTAATTACAATGAGTGCGCCCTGTATAAAAAAAATACAAAGAAAAATAACAATCGCGTTTGTGCTAAAATAAAATACAATAAAAGAAAATTCAGATTATTAATTACAAAATAGTTTGACCTAAAATAAAATACAAAGGAAAAAATTAATTAATTAGTGAACGCGACTCTAGCTACGATTATGAAAACTCTAAATCTATAACTTGAATTTATAAAATAAAATTATTCAAATAAATTGTTCGATTGTCGGAAAATTTGCGAGGATTCGTTCCGACACTGTAGGAGCTAACCCGTTCGGCCGCAGTACGATTTCTGGGCAACTTCGCCGTCACTGATAGGCCGCATTCAAGGAGCTTCTGCTTTCGCTCGCTCGTTAAGCTTGGTTGCGAACACTGCAGGATGGTATCGTCGCTCTAGAGCCAGTGTACTAATAGGCCGCATCCAAGGAGCTTCGGCTTTCGCTCGCTCGTTAAGCTTGGTAGCGAACCTGACACGTATGAGAACCGCTGCGAACCGGTGGTCGAGCGCTCCGGGTCCAACGCGGAACCTTTGCCGCCTTGCCGACAAAAGAATCTATGCTACTGAAAACCTATGTAGTAATCGTATCATAGACCCGTGTCAGACTACGATCAGAATCGAAGTGAAACAGCTCCTCGCGGCACGCTCGTACTTATACCCGAGATCTGCTTACGTAGCAGTTTTTTCTACACGCATTTTCGATACCGGAAGTGTTTGGACTTTGACCGGAGTGTACGTGACTCCGCGCGTATCGCTATCTCTGTCTATGCATAGTGCTATCTCTCTTTATTCTGCGCTCTATTACTATCTCTTTCTATGCGTTATTCCTATCTCTATCTATCTGTCCTGCGTCGATTTTTTATCGACGCGGTAATTATCGATGTATATTTTTGGAGTATACATTTTTGTTAAGTATAAATATTAATAAATACAAGATTCTTTTCTTATTTGTTAAATATGAATATAATTATTAATCTAGATCACGTTAATACAATAATAATAAAAAAACGAACTGTTACAACTTTAATTGTATAAAAACGAAAAAAAATAAATAAATATTTTAATAATTAGTAATGATGAGACTTTGTGTTTATTCTTCTTCTTGCGGGATGTTACAGTTAGGAGGGAGAGAGATGTTATGTATTTATAAGCGATTCATATAGCGCGCGGCTAGCGTTCCCCCTGGCGGGCAGCGCGTAAGTAAATTCGCGAGACGCAATTGTTTTCCGTCTCCGATTATTCTAGTAATGGCGACAGGCAATAAACCTCGTGTTAATAAGCAGACGTACGCATTCGTGATTTATCAAGTCCCCATCCCGGGTTCCTTTCAATACCCAACATATTTGATATACGTTCAGCGTACGTTTGCCGATTACTCTGAGACGTATGGACCAATCGGAACCAAACTTTTTGCATCTTGTAGAGTATATCTGCCGATTGGTCCTGCAAAAAACATTTTGTATTTCTTCATTTCTAACGACTTTTATTGCCAAAAACGTAATACTTCATTTATATCTTTCGGCGTTTACGCTGCAGAGAACGTACCGATTGCGATGAAACCTTTCACATTTAGTAGGATATACAGGGTGTCACGCGACTACCTTGACAGCCGAAGCGGGATGATTGTTAGTGTGATTCTAAACAACTTTTTCCTTTGCCAAAATGTTGGTTAAAGCTTGGTTTTCGAGTTATTAATAAAAAACATCAACCAATCCAAGCGCATATAGCGCGCAGTTTCAGGGACTGCAGTGTCGGCTACGAAAACCGGGTCTGACTTAGGTCGCGAACGAACAGCTTGGCACCCCGTTGGCATAGCACAATAAAAAAACTGAACTGGTAGAACATTTTTAGTCGTTTAGAATACGGGACCTAATCTCTTGTCGCGTGTCATAATGCAAAAAAGGAAATTCTAAGGATTCTAAACAACAAATTAAAATGTTTAAAGTGGAATAATAATAATAATTATTATTATTATTGCTAAGCTTGAGGTTCAGCGGGCACTCAGTCTTTGGGAACCATTGTACCCGGGCCGCTAGGCAGCCTCCTTACTGGCTGTGCCTTGGCAGCTGGGCTTCTATTGCGAAATTTAGAAGCACCGGCACCAGGCCAGCCGAAATGATTAATGATGAGGGTTCCGAGGTCCCCAGGATTGATCCTCTTATGGCCCTTAGTTCCCTACATCTTAGGAGTGCGTGGAAAAGTGTCTCATCCTCCTCCTCACACCTCGAGCACGTCGACTCCTCTGTGAGTCCCATGCGTGCGAGATGTTTCCTCGTGTACTGGTGTCCTATCACTAGGCCCACGAGCATGCGCAGCTGCGCCCTGTCCAGGTAAGTTAAGGTGTCACCCAGCTTCTGTGACGGTCCCTTAAGCAGGGCCCTCGTGTGTCTCATGTCGTTAGCGTTTTGCCAGAGCCCGGTGAATTCCTGGTTCAACCATTCTTTAGCCAGGCCCTTTAACGCATAGGTTGAGACACCAATAGGGTACACATGGCGTGGCTGGGAGCTTGTCGCCCCCAGTCGCGACAGTTCATTAGCCCTCTCATTACCTTTGATACCAGCGTGACCTGGTACCCATAGCAGCTTGACTTTGTTATTCAGAGATAGCTGCCTCAGAGTCAGTGCACAGTCCCTGACTAGCTTCGACCCTATCTCCACTTTGTGGAGGGCTCTAAGCGCAGCAAGGCTGTCACTGCAAATATAAATGTGTTTGCCTGAGTAAGCCCTATCCAAGTTGTATTTGGCGCAGGCCCAGATGGCAAACACTTCTGCTTGGAATACCGTAACGTGGTGGCCCAGCTTGTGGGTCATTTCGACCCTCGGGCTCTCTCCTGCTATCCCGGCTCCGGTGCCACATCTGGTCTTGGAGCCGTCTGTGAACCAGACCAGTCCCCCCGGAGTCAGAATGCCGTTTGGGTCCTCCAGCCATTTTTCCCTATCTGGGAGGATTATTTCGTATTCGTGTGCCCGCCGTTCGCCGGAGACCATTCTTCAGGTTGATGGAGGCGGATGGCTGCTCTCCAAGCCGTTGCCATCACTACTAGATGAGATGGCTTGATATTGAGCAGTACACCCATTGCCGTAGTGGGAGTGGTGGGGAGCGCACCTGTTATCCCCAGTAACGCTATTCGGTATATTCTTTCTATAGTCCTTCTGTGTGCTCCCCTCTACATGGAGGTCCACCACACAATCGAGGCGTTTGTTATAATAGGTTCAAGCATGGCCTGGTATATCCACCTAGCCATCCTTGGTTTGAGTCCCCATGTAGGGCCAAACATTCTGCGGCAGGCCCAGTAGGTGCTAATTGCTTTCTGGGTCTGCTTGTTCACATGATTCTTCCAGGTGAGCTTTTGTCTAGTATTACGCCTAGATATTTTACCTCATCTGTGAGTTGTAGCTGCGTCCCAAAAAGATGAGGAGCCTTAAAATAAAAGCGTCATCTCTTTGTGAATAGGACCAACTCCGTTTTGTTAGGGTTAACCGAGAGCGAGTGTGCTCAACACCAAGATTCTACCAGTGTGATTGCCTTTTGCAATCTCCTCGCTAAATCCAGCGGGTGTCTGCCTCTGACCGTAATGGAAAGGTCGTTGGCGTAGCCCTGGACCTCAAAACTTTCCATGGTGAGTATACGTATGAGTTCATCAACCATGAGGGTCCACAGCCGGGGGAACAGGACTCCTCCCTGCAAACAGCCCTTCGCGACGTCGGCCCTTACCGTTTCCTCTCCCAGGCCTGCTGTGGCTGTTTTATGTGTCAGCATACTGTAGATCCATCTTATGACGGAATCCTTAATATTGTATCTCCTCGCGGCTTCCTGTATGGCATCGTGAGAGGTGTTGTCAAATGCCCCCTCAATGTCGAGGAAGATGCAGAGGGCGGATTCTCCGTTCGACAGTGCGGCTTCAATGCAACCTACCAGGTTATGAAGTGCTGTCTCGGTCGATTTGCCATTTTGATAGGCGTGTTGAGAGGGTGCAGCGGTTTGCTGACTAACAAGGAACCATACCGAACTGTCCGTCTCCGATTTCAATGAAACTCAGTGCATATATTAGGCAGGTGAAAATAAGAGACACGTATTTTTTTATAGCGGCCTAATTGCATGTTTAGGGGGTAAAATCACCCCTTGAAATTTCAGCAGAAAAATGGTATCTCGAAAACTATCACAGATATAAGAAAACTTCTTAAGGAAAAGATTCATGGTTTCTTGAGGTAAAACAAAAGGTGGTCACAGATTTTGTAAAAAGTGCTTTGTTTATAACAAAAAAATTTATTGTTACATTATTTTAAGAGATACAAAAATTTACATTATGACAAAAAAGAATCGACATTTTTTTCTGAATTCGTTAATATATAATATGATAGATTTGCCTCCTACAGTTTTGTAAATTTTCATATAATACACAGAACGCTCGAATCCGCCGGGATACGGCCGCACGAGATATACATGTGTTACGTCCCACCTTAAGGGCACAGACTCCTTCGAGGCCTCCTCCGAATCGATGTAAGCGCCATTGGAAAGAATCGGGCAATCGTGAAAACACATAATTGAGAAATTCGACATTTGACGGTGTGACATCTAACGTCATTATGCAGAATAAGAAACGAAAGTGAGGTGGCATAGTTGCCAAATCACATCATTTGAGAGTTCTATCGCGGTGTTGCCGCATCTGTGACCATCTAGCAAAATGAATTTGCTCGAGCCGAGCGAGATTTTGATTCCTGGCGGACATAGAAAAGGACAGCGCGAGAGAGAGAGAAGGAATATCATGAATGAAACAACGTAGGGCCGATCGGCGTAAATATAGTCACACGCTACGACAGATTCGATGAGACTCTGTAATACACATAACGTACGCGACTATAAGACTTATAGGAATAAAAACTATATGGCATTAATAATTTCAGGAAAGGAATGAAAAATAAAGACATGTAAATTGATCTATAATATACAATATTTATCGATTGAAATATAATTAATAAATATAAAAAATGCCTCTTCTTTCTCCGCGCCGTCTATATCGTCGATTCCCATGACAGCCACTCCAGCCACGTGTTATTGAAATCTTTTTCATTTGAAATATAATAATGAATTTTAATATAATTGTACCTGCATATACAGAGTGTCCCAGTCTAAGTGTGACAGAATTATATTAAAATTCATTATTAATTTCTTTATTTCTTATTCCCTTCTTGAAATTATTATGTCAGGTAGTTTTCATTCCTATAAGTCTTATGGCCGCGTACTTACGTTATGTGTATTATTTCATTCATTCTACCCCTACCAGCACCACGAATCCGCCGTTCTTTGATGTTTCCGAACATAGAAAAGGATAGCGCAAGAAGGATAAACAAAGAGAGAAAGACTCACAAGCACAACATTTAACCCAATATTATGGTATTAAATGTTGACCAATTTATATTGTGTTTAGCTTCATTTTAATCAGAAAAATCTTCTCCACATGATAGTGAAATTTTTATTAAAATAAAAAACTTTATTCTGTGCATTAGTATGGTCACATTGACACGAGGCATTTAGATGAAGGCAATAAATCCCGGTTTTAGTCCCTCTTTCGTCTTTAGCTACTGACTCTTTCTAATCAGTGTTTACTGACTAGGCAATCAAATTTGAAAAATGATTCTCCTATTCCATAACAGTTGCGGAGTGGACCGGCAATAATTATGTACATTTATCGAGTTTTCACTGTATATGGTGCAAGTTTTATAATTCATTTTTCTGGCATACCATTTCAAGTATTCTATCTGTAATTTAATTGATGAAAAATACATGATTATAAATATGAATAAAAAAGTTTGATGGATGCACACATTAGTACATGTATTGTTTCATTCTCGAACCTCTTTCTCTCTCGAGCGCCCTATTCTTTTCTATGTCTGGCAGGAATCAAAATCGGCTCGAGCCTGTTGCAATTGTAACAGATGTGGCAACAGCGTGACAGAAGTCTTAATACGATGCGGCAACTATGCCATACTTCTGACTATATTCGCGTAGCTATTTGTGGTGTCAAATTAGAATTTACATTTATCGACTGATTTGTGTTTTTATCGACCCTGATGATAACGTGGTCAAATATACCATCAATGCCTCTGACGGAAAATCATTGAACTATTCTTATGTCTATTTTACGTCTGATGCGTGCAAATCGTAGAATCGATTTTACGTCTTCCAGAAGTGATAAGTTGTGAAAAATCGAATTTCAGTGATATTGTGCTAGTTTAAGGAAAGTCGGTCTGGTGTGCTGTCGGTGAAAAAACCATTAAATCGTCCAATATTTGCTAAAATGCAGCCGAACGCAGCATTCGGCAGCCATGTTGTTTGCTTACAACAGCGTCTGTCTCAATCTTACAATTTCGAAAATACGGTTTTTCTCAACGAATGGTGTTTATTAGCGTTCAAGCGGACCAGACCGACCTGTGCCGAAGTCTACCTGTGTGTGCTGTACTCGCGAAAATTTTATTTATGCAATTATCAAGACGAAAAATCGATTCTACGAAATTGAATGTCTCTCTCGCGCATGGCGTATACGTGCATGCTTTCCGTTGATTGTGTGAGTGCACGCATACAGGTCATGGCACAAGGAGTCTGTGCCCTTAAGGGTGGTTATTTTACTGTTACTACGTTTCTCGGGTTCTGCCGATTAAAACGCTAAGGCGTACCTTGACCTTCCTTGCGGATAGTATAGTATAGGATACAGGATGGACGTTCAGTAATTGTAATACAGATATATGGTTCTTCAATATCGATATATATGTTCTGTCTTTGTCGTTACATACCCTTCGCTGACTTCAGGTGTTGTGCGTCACTCGTTCGTTCTCGTATCACTCGCTGGTCATTCACACTAGAGGTCTTGTTTTACACTTACTTCGCGTTTCGGACGGTACACTAGACTCGCGGCGCGTGGCTACGACTCGACCTTGGAGATACAAGCGGTTGGTGGTGGTCCTGCACAGCACACGGGTGCACTCCTGGACTTGGTCCAATTATGGGTCTGTTATCTCAGACCACGGCGATACACTCGTGTTGAACCGTCGACCGAGCACGTCGTCGATGATCTTCCTGGTTCCGAGTAGCCTTACACGCGGGTCTACTGCGGGTCACGAACGGACAGAACGTCGGTCTCTGCTATACGCTATCACGGAACTGGCGTACTTGCGTTGCGCCGATAACTTATACTTCCAAAAGGGGAGTAGGTCACGCTCCTTGCTTGCGAAAACCTGCGAGCAAAGGGTTTTCCCCATTGCATTTCGCGAGATCCCCGATTTCGTATCACGGGCATCGCTAAGCGAGAAAATGCTGATGTTTCGCGGATTCCAGAGCAAGACCTCCTTGGAATGGCGAAAGACAAAAATGGTTTATAACTAGGAACGTAACACCCCCCACGCAAGACACAAAATGCTCTCGAGAAGGTATTTTGTGTAAGCTGTTTTCGTCGTTCGCCACCCTCATGCGCTCACTCACACGTACATTTCCATGCATTCACAGAGTATATATATAATGGTGAAAAATTTGTACAATAAAAGGTAGCTGTTCAAAATATAAAGGTAAAAGGTGCCGAAGAATATACAATAGTGCGCAGCTGTTGAAAATATAAAGAAAAGAAATATGTGTATAAAGTGTCGAAGATATGTACAGGTTTGTGTCGTCGTTTGACGTATAAAGTGGAAAAAGTTGTGCGGGAAGTGGCCACAGGGCACACCCCCCGCACGCTAGACAGCCGATAATTTTGAAATGGGTGTCGAGTGAATAATCTATATGACCATAAAAGGATTGATTTTGGAGTGCGGTGTCTACGGATACGCTGAGTTAGACATTCCACGATGGCTATTGAAAAATTGTCGATGTAGGACTAATCGTCGCTATGGTCCTGGTGAACCTGGTGGGGTTTTCGTGGTATATATACCGGTCGACCGCCCGGAGTCGTTACTCTAGCAAAAAAAAATTTCTTTTACATTCCACATTAAAATGTACG